AGGGCGCTAATTTTAAGAGATTTGAATCCGTTTAAAGCTTAAACAAATTCTAGTTTATTTCTTTTTTTCACTTATTTTACTATCTTCATTTTTTGCAATCCTTTTTGCAATTTTTTACCCTTCAATTTTTGAGGGTCCTGACCACACTTAAAATATTATTGGAGGCTTCAGCATCCTTACAGTTGACGTCTATGCGTGACCTACAATAACTATCAAATAGATCAATTATTTCTCTCTCTCTAGGAAATATAGTTAAGGATGTTTTAATTAAATCAATCGTCAAAAATGGCTGTAATCGAATAAACCAGCAAATATTTATTGTGACAGCATCATAATGCCGGACTGCAATTTTTAATCATATTTTTCATGTATTTAATTTAAAATATATACCCTCCATTTCAAATTAGTATTGTCATGCCCCTATACACCATACTTTTCCTTTAACAACAGATTCTTGCCGGTCATCTATCCATAACACCTATAAAATACTTTAATTGAAATAACGTAACTTTTAGTTTTCATCGAAAGATTTTATATAGTTGATCTGGGCCTCCTGCCCCTAAGGTTTCCAAATCTGGTCTCAGATTTCATCTATCTTACTCTGTTCTCAAGATTAAGGAAGACAGACAGGCAGACAACAGCAGACTGACGACAGTGAGAATTTATAGGTCTACAATTTTTTTCAAATTGCAGCTCAATTAGTCGATGATAACACAAGCTAATATCCCATAAAAACGATGTAAAATATTTTCATTAAAGTTAAAAAAAAGCCTCAATAATTAAAAAAAAATTCGTCAAAGTCAGAAATATTAATTTTTCCAAGATTAAGGCAGGCCACTTTGGAAAGAAAACTTATATTAATGGATTCAAAAGAAATTGTAATTCTTCCATTGTATTTTCTTTGTCTTCATCTTCCGCCATCTGTAGTTCATAATGGGAACTATTATCGGAAAGATTTTTGCTTAAATAATCGAAAACGCTATTTAACTAAACGAACTTCTGCCAGGAAGAGTAACATTTGGAAATAAATTAAATAAAAATAGAAAATGCTCCGCCAACGAAGGAAACGACGATTGTAAATATAAATAGGTTTCCATTTGGGTGGAGAATGGCCGATGACAATCGATTGTTCATTAGATGGCGTCGGGTTAGCTGTCGTACAACTTCCTTGTAAACCCCCTTGTAAACGCTATTGAATCTGAGTTTCTGGGCGAGGTCTGGGAACAAAGTCGCAAAAACTGAATTAATAATAATTATTATTATATATTATTATTATTAGGCCTAATAATAGAAATAATAATAAATTAAATAAATAAAAGTTAACAATAATAATAAAATAAATTCCACATAAAGACATACAATATAATTTCTGATTCCTTTGAAGTTGGTTGACCTGTTGTGTGAAAAAGTTTCTGTAAATCTTTGTTAATAAAATACCATAATTATTCATTTTCTGTTTAATTGATGGTTTTTTTTTGTATTAATTCTACATGCCAATGCTTATGACATAACAAATTATATTAGTTATATAAATTGAAGAAATCGTATTACAGTAAATATTAAGCATGATATACCGAATGATTCTGTACTATATTAAATTCAGTAATATGCACTACAATACGATTTGTAATTCGAAATATTTTGATTATATCTAGTAAATTTCTATGATTTAATGATATTTGAAGAAATAAAAATGGATGGAAATACGATACGAAAATAACGTCGTAAAGTAAGCAAATTTTCATTTTGTTCATTCGCCATTTCAAAGTGTAACCAAAATTAATATAAGTGACTAAATATTTATTCTCAAGTAAAGAATAAAAATAAAAACTACTGATTCAAACCTGGAGTGATAATAAATGTCAGCATAATGCAAACAAATATTTAACAATAATGCGATTTTTAAATTATCGCTATTAGTTAAACTTAATCACCAATGCAATAAAATTATGCGTTTTGTTATTTGTACCACTTCTTCGCTGTATCTCACAATTGTCTTATTTAAACAAATAATTTGAGGAAACTGTTCCCCGTACCTCTATGTAGTAACCAATGTAACGATTTTTCAGTTTTTTTTGCAAATAAATTAAAAGTAGGAGAATTTCATAAATAGCACAATAAAATAAAATATAATTTTTTTTTACGGAAAATGAAATGTGGTTTTAGAAAAATTATTTTCTTAAAAACTCCAGCTGAAAGTCACCAATATAGTGCAATATATACAAAATGTCTAGTAAGTCTGAAGTCTGATAAGAATTATATTGATCTTTGTATTCATTTTACAGTTAAAGCATGACGCTGACTAGGGAGGAACGAATTCAAGTTATTTGATGGTGGAAACCTACAGTCAGCAAGAAGTTTCCAAAAAGTTTAATAGGCTGCATCCCTATCTCTGTGTGTGATTGGCGAAAATCTGGATGCAGCTTATCAAACTTTTGGCATTTTCTTGCTTACTGTAGGTTCCCACCATCAAAATAACGAATTCGTTCCTCCCTACTTACCTGTAAAAGAATAAACAAAGATTTACACAGCTTCAGACTTATGGGATGCCTTTTATATTATCTGTAATATTATTCACTCCGTTCTTATGATTTCTTACGTTAGCAATATATTTTGTATGCATTTTGTGCAAACGTATAATGCACTCTTAATTATTTATATATATAAAAAATTTATTTAGCTATTAATTATAGCAGGTTACGACCTCATAAGTTATGCAGATTTATTTTTTATGATTTTAAAATATATATCCTTATATGCAGTAAATAATAATAAATAAATATTATTATAGACGTAAAAATTAAAATGATGCACTACATGTCTATATAGGAAGATTTAAAGAAAAGTTTACAAAACTGATCACTAACTCAAGACAAAAAAAATCAATCAAATATCACTGAGTTGTATTTACAAGTCACTTATACTGTATATTTTCTTTATTTACTTAAATTATATAAGTAAATATATAAGTAAATATTCATTACAAATCCCATTTAATTTAATTTTTTATTAAATATTTTTTACAAAATTTCCTTAATTTTAAATGATCTATATAAAATAAATCGAATTGTTAACTTATATTAATAACTATTATTGCGTTCGCGAAATTTCTGGAATTCATTCCTGGAATATTATAATGTACATTTATGAAATAATTGATAAAAATTAAATCAAATTTTATTTTATTTTGTTTTTAAAACAAGAAAAAATGATTAGAAATCATATTTAAAGAGAATGCAGGCCTATACATTGTAAAAAAAAAAATATACTATTTAAACTATAAAATTTAAGGATTTATATTATTGTAGCGGGAAAAATAGAGTTATTAATTTATGATTAACTTAAATATCCAACAAAAATTTTCAGTTTTACGTAATAATTTTTTTATTATTTATGTGTATTAATTTGCGCGAGTTTTTGTTTACGATTACATTCCAGGACGTAATATAAACATATATCGCGACCCCTAATTAACATAGAGTTAAATAATGAATCTATTTAGAAATTAAGAAAATTTGAATATCTATGGTTTTAAAATAATTTAATTAAAATTATAAAATTTATTCACTAGTAACCCAACGAATAACACATTGCACGATAGTCGCAAGTTTGCGACTGGAGTTTTCCGGGTTTTTTCACGTGTTTAATACCGAAATAGGGATCAGTTTCATAGAAAGTCCTTTCAGGAAGGATCTCTTCTTGACAGATCACCCATGTGTTGCGTTGCCGTCTTCCATCAATCCTATCCTATCCATTTTATTATTGCGGTAAAAGCTTTCATTACTGATATTTTATTTAAATTTTGTAAATTAAAGAAAGTTAATAATGTTTTCAAAACGTACTTATTCAAGAATCATAATAATTGAAAAAATACAGTATATAATTTTTTTCTTTATAACTTTTTATTTATTAAACAACCTAATAGGTAAGAAATTTCAGTATCATTATTATATCAATCTCACAATCTAACAATTTGGTCTCAATTTTTGACATTTTTAAAATTACAATAAAGACCTTATATAAATAAATGTTTAAGAAATCTTCATTTTCAGGTTTTTGTCGAATGTAATAAGGAAATTTATCAAATAGTATCGACGACACTTTATCAGAATCATATTACAGGGTCTTCCAAAAGAATGCTACCATTTTAAATGATTGTAATTATGTTAATTATTATCTGAGACGTATGCTTTTTACTAATCGATAAAGTGACAGTTCGAGTTTCATTTTCTCATCTGCATTCAAACGTTTTCTTGCCTACTCAGACAGAAAGACGTTTAAATTCAGGTGAAAAATGAAAATAGGACATCTACTCTATCGATTGGTGTAATGTACTATACATGGCATAATTACAATAATTTAAACTGGTAGCATTGTTTTAGGAAGACCCTGTATATAAAGTTATTTAATTTGTATATAAAATTTATATTTATTGTGACTGTTTAATGTTATTATAAACAATTAATGTCTACGTTATGGTAAAAATAAAAGAAAATTTTCTATAAATTGTATTTAAAAATGTGAATTTGTTTTAAAAATATGTATTACTTCTTAGTTAAATTATAAACAGTAAAGAAAATATTATTAACTTTAATAAAACGTTATTTTAATTGTGAAATATTTAAATGCATTAATATATACAAATATAAGTTATATATTTATAATAATTTTTTAAAATATTTTAAAATATTGTTTTTTAAGAAATATAGGAGTTATTATTATAGTAATTTGAAAATCCTATTTTTAGCTTAATATGTAAAGAACGAAAACTATGTATGCAACTAAATATTAAAATATGATTTTTATTTTAAGATTTTTGTTCAGAAAAATTTTCAATTTTTATCGGAAACATAGAAATTATGAATCGTAATAGGCTACACTGGACGAGTTCTTAAAAAACTTGAATTTCTCGAAATTGTATAAAATCCGTAATCAAAGAGATTCACACAAATTACATTTAAAATTATTTATTTGAAAATTCAGAAAAAAATAGTTTATTTAGGAAATGTACAGAGTTTTTACATGCAAATATGTACATGTCACATGACAGTTGATCAGGAATAGATCTAGTTATCAGAGACCGTTTTCTGATATCTAATTATAGTTCGGAGATTTCATCTGGAAACAAAATGAAATGTTTTAATTCTGTCGATAATGATGAATGAAGTTAAATTCTAATTATAGATGCATTTTACCTTTATTCGCCTAGGATAATACTTTAAGAGCTGTCACCAAACGATCCTTGATCGAAACCGCCAACATCTGATCCTAAGGTGTCGAGAGATGCATCATCTATGTCACCACCTTCACCTCCTTCACCTCCAAAATTTCCGAAGTCTCCTGTTCCAAAACCTCCGAAGTCTCCTTGTGCATAAGTGGATGCTACAAGGAGCATCATAGCAAAGAAAAATACCTAGAAGTAAAATAAATATTGTCATGTAACTGTAATTACGAATTTAGCCATTGAATTTAAACGTATATATTACGAATCAACAATTTACATTGAGATAAAATAATCTATTATAGTATATAAAATTAAATATAAAAATATATTATTATTATTATATACTTACCCAGGATTTCATTTTTAGTCGAGTAGGTAGTTAGAACTTTACTGTACGAGAGAGTTGGTTGTTGTGATGCATAACAAGAGACAGGCCTTCTATTTATATGATTTAACTTCCCGTCTCAGCTGACCTAATAAAACTAGTCGTAACTGGATTGGTTGGCAAGTAAGTGGGAAAAAGTAAGTCAAAATCAAATTTGGATACGGGGGTGATTCTTCGTCATTTCCACTAGAATTGATAATATCTAAAAGTGAATAATAAATTTGATAGGTCATTACCTCAAGTTCATACTAATATATTCATAGAGGAAAGGAACAATAACCCAAACGGAGGTTATTGTTCCTATATTGTTTTAAAAATTAATTTACATAATTAGCACTATACGAAGTGTATAATTTCACTTTCAGATGGAATTTCTGCTCGAGGTATATTATTTCACCACTTTTTTCTTCCATTTTAAATTGATGAAAATATTATTTTAGAAGAATAATATTAAAAGAATTATATAATTTTTTTTTAAATTTTCATCTTTGTTTTATAATTAGTTTTTTTTTTTTTATATTTTCTTTTAAACATGTGGAGGATTTAACTGAATTTATTTTTAGGACGAAATAAGTAAATTCCATTTTTTAGACTTTAAAATTTCTTAACTTTTTTAACTGAATTTTTAAACATNTAGACCAGGCTATAAATTATGTTATAAATTTCAAAACTTTTATACCAACTACAGTTCCTCTAATTAAAAAAAAAATTCGACTTTAATGCTTGTTTCGTCTTTCTACAGCAAAATTTTAGTTTTAAATAACTATAATTCGTTATATAACCTGTTACCAAGGCTGGATTTAGACTTGTTATGGTCCTAAGCTATAAAATATAACAGGTCCCTTTATTTAATATATGTAAAAATATCAGGCCCTAAGCTATAGACTCATAACGCGAGGCCCTAGCTACAGTTTAGTTTGTGTGCAAATCCGTCTCTCTCTGTTAATTTTACGAGTTTTTTTTTAATTTTATTATTTATTTTGTCAAATTTACTTTAAATGATAAACGAAGAATTTTACACCAATATTCAAATACCAAATTTAATTAATCATCATTAAAAATAGCTTCATAATAAAACAATTTATTTAGGTTATTAGACTATACACGCTTAGTTAGGTTACATTATTATATATTTTTGAATGCGGTGGGCTATTATCTGGTCGTTTATAAAAAAATTTCAGTAGCAAGTATTATATTTAGACGTCTTAATATATCTGGTCACACTTCCTGAAGTAATGTATATTAATTCGACTAAAGTTCACATGTAATTATAAAAACTATTATATAATAATTAGAATATTTTTAAATTATTCATTTTTTGAGTAATTTATATTTTAAATAAAGACTCAAACTGTAGTCTTATTTAAATACAGTATAATAAATGTGAAGTTTTCAGAAGAAGTTTTATAGTTTAAAAGTTTAAAATCATATAATTATTTACATAATGTATAAATTAATGTATAAATTTAAGTTTTTCTCTGATAATTCAATGAATAAACTTTATTTTATATTCCAAAATCGCAACAACGATGCGGAAGAACGAAATCAATCATTAAGCGCTCTAATGTTCGTAATATGTGTTTTAATTTGATCTAAACTAATTCTAAATTATATAATTAGATAAAATTAAAACTAAATTAACTTTTTATATCAATTTACGTTGTAAAACATGTGATAGTGTTAGGAGGGATTGTCCCGTAACGAGGAAACATTCGTTTTCATGTGAAAGAAAAAGTTTGCTTGCCCAGATTATAGCTCACGTTACTGTTAAGTGCAGTAAGATGAAAATAGAACGTTGAATTAATTGGGTGAAATTTCCTGGTACATACCGCAACTGTTATAAGATAATACTAATTTTGTTTGAGAAATGCCCTAACTTTTTTTTTTTCAATCGGTCGTTTAGGTGAGATTAACAAATAGGGCTATTCTGTCACCAGTTAAATGTTATGTGGTCGTTGTTATTTTACACTCTTTTCTTCTGTAGTTACTCTATATATAAATACAATAACAAAGGTGATATAAATATAACTATATTAAGTAGATTATAAATCTGTAGATATAGATATATTTTGAAATTAAGTGTAGTACAGTATAAGTAACTTATTTTTTAATTAAAAATTTAATTAAATTTTATTTAATATTTAATATAAAAAATTAATTCAATTTTATTTAATATTTAATATAAAATATTAATTCAATTTAAGATTTAATTATATTTTCAAAATTTATACTTTGATATATTATTAATTTATACACGTATAAATTGTCGGGGGATAAAAGAGGTTGTTTTTGAATGAATTATGAATAAGGAATTAAAAGTTATTCTTCGTAATTAATAAAAATGTTAAAAGTTTTGAGAATATAATTAATAATAAATTGTATAATTGTACATTTGTTATTTTTACCATACGCTGAAGTTAATGACTTTAATATTTCCTATCGAAGTGATAAATTTTAAGTGGTATCTTTATGTAGATGAGTACAGTATTATTCATTTAATATTCAGATATACTCAAAATATAATAAATTTTCCGTGAATGGGACTGAATTTAAAACCTTATTAAGATCGATAATAAAATAAATTAAAAGCCCATAATATTCTAAAACATAAAAATGATTCTATTGACACATAAGATTTAATACTGTGACATCAATCTTGTTTTTAGCTTTTACTCAACAATTTTAAGAATAATTTATTGTTTTAAAATTTGGTATATATTTGTCTATTTGCTATATTTTATGGCATATAAGACTCATCCACATTTCATCACAGAATATTTAGGAAAAAGTATTTAGTGTATTTAATTGTAGTTTACTAAGGACGTTTTGAGAGAACACAACTTCATATTTAAGTCACAGGACAATTTTTGAGCCCTTTTTTTTGGAAAAAGTTGCGTTTTATATGCAGTATATTACGGTAATTGCTTATTGAATCTTTATTAGTCGTATGATTATTTGTTAATAAAACTTTATAACATAAAAACCAAATAAAGTTTGTTATCGTTTTATTATAAGAGTAAAATATATTTAAAAAAAATATATTTCTGATATAGATTTAAACAATATTAATTAGTCACGGAAGTTAAAACAGGGACAACTAAAATTGAACGAAAGTTTTCTTCGCTTTGTGATTCATAATTAATTCAGGTTACTATTGTGCTTGTTTACTTCATTGTTTCTTTAAGTAGCATTATGTAATTATGTACACAAAGGGTTATGGTAATGGTAAGTACATCAAAATTGCAATAGGTAACTATGCTATTAAAATGGACCTAAAATTTTAAGTATTTTTCAACAAAAAATAAGGTAAACTTCTTATCTAGGATTATACAGAAATATATTTAAATTCTGTAAATTCTAAAACAAAGTATATTATTATAATTTCCAAAGAATGAGGAAACAGAAATATTGTGCATGTTTAATGATCCAAATTACGTTTTAGATTCACGTTGGATTCTTTCTGGCTGGGTGAAAAGGAACGTAGTAAATACATAAACAAAACTTTTAGATTATATTTCTTATCTTGTAAAATCTGAAATTTGATTGGTTATGTAAGATTATATAAAGTAGATTTTATTGGAGACGAATCTCGAAAGATTTTATCAAATGTTCTAATGCACGTGTTTGACACTTCGATTATTCGTTATGAATATTAAGAACCAAAGAGAGGAATTCAAAGAATTCTTTAACATTTTTAAAAATTATTTAATATTAAAAATCTGAATTTTGATTATATGTTAAGTAATGAGCATAATGGACATGACATGTATAGACAGGACGTTGCCCTTTATTAAAAACATTCATTCAATTTTTGAGGCTAAACAGAGTTATCTTCTATTTTTCTTACTACTTGAATATATAGGTCAATAATAATATAAATAAAAAATGATAAGTATAAATATTAGCCTATATAATCATTAGTTAATCCAGAAACTAAAGTAAGCAGTTGTTAATTTCAGTATAGTCTAAGCTAAGATTGAGACTGAATGATTTGAATGATTCAAAGGTGGATAAAAGTAAATAAGAATTTTATAACCATCCATTTACCTTAGAAGGGAAAGTTTAGGGAAAAAAATAGAACAAAATTTTGGAAAGAGGTCAGTGAGCAGGTGTCATTGACCGTTCTTCTAGAGACGACAAATTGCCCACCCTCTAGCGCTTGTTACGATCTGTCATTCTTAAACTAATAATTTTACGGAAGAGACTTTTTAAAATTTAAATCAATGTCTTTATATCATTTCTCCTCACAATTTTTATTTTAAAACAATAATTCAAGACTTAAATAGGAAAGAACGGTAAATTCCTAGTATATGAAATGAATAACCTAACTTATACTTTCCTAATACTTAAAACTAGTTACAGTATATAAAAAATAAAAATAATAGAAGCATATAGATGATTTTATCCTTGGCCTCTAGCTATCTCCATCTACAGAAACAGATACTCGAAGCATGAATAAAAATAATTCAATTATCAAAAAAATGTTCCTCTTAGAGTCTTATTTTTCCTCATTTTAATGATAAATGTTAAGAGGCGAATACAAATATTCGGAAGGAAAATTCAAATTAAAAAAACAAATATATATATTTAAAAGTATTTTTAAAGGATAAGTTTATAAGTCTCAAAATTAAATTCTTGAACTGGACAATGACTGAACAAAAATTTCTATCGTATTTTTTATATTTTATTTTTAATTATTTACAAAAATGATTAGAATTAAGAATGAATTATAGAAAAAAATAATGTATTTTGAAATATTATACATTTAGAATTATCTAATTGACTTTTATACGAACATTTAAAGTTTACTTCAATTGATAAAATATAATAGCAATGTATATGATGTTTATTAAAGCATAGCTATTAGGTAAGTTATTTTTATTATTAATATTACTATATATTATATAATATTATGTTAATATAAGTTATTATCTAATATATTAATTAATAAAATGTAATAAGTTATTTCAACTGTAATTAGTTTGTAATATTTATTATTCGTTTATTAAAGATATTAATTTATTAAAAATTATTTATAAAATGTTACTAATAAATGTTTATGAATACTTGTCATTTTTCGCTTAAAACCTATTTACTGTTTAGATATTGGGAGGATCAGAGCCGAATTTGTAAATAAGTTGAACAAGCTACAGCGTAGGGCCTCGCGTTATGAATCTATAGCTTAGGGTCTCACATTTTTATATGTACTTAGTGGAGGGAAAGAGCTTGTTAGGGACAAAAATCTAAATGTAGCCCTGATTTTAAGGCATTAA